GAAGACAGACATAATATCCAGACACACACAAATTATTTGGCTATGCTGGTATGTTTTTTGTGTGTGTTTTTGTCTTGCTATCTAGTAAGTCACTGAAACTGATAGGATACTATGGTCTACCATACTTCAGGCAGTTATATAAGATGGTAAGGGGGAAAGTAAGTTAATGGCATACTGATTTCAAAATGTAGAAAAGTTAATAAAATTTATTTTGAAGTCAAAGTAGGATTTGTGAAGCTTCGCAAGATCAATGCCAGTAGTCTAGGTAAGTGTTAAAATATGTGTGTATATATATATATATATATATATGCAGTTCAAATTGTTAAGCCTTCAGAATATGACTATTCACAGTTGTAAAGACTTAAAGAGACCATAATATTAGGCCTGCATAGTACCAAAATAAGTACTTAGAAGTCTGGTTTGACTTTGTTTTACTATATCAATGCATGATTTCTTCGTATGTACAGGATGAAGTAAATTACATAAACGCCTTCAGAAAAGGGGGACAGTTGTCACCAGTGTGCAATGGAGGCATTATGACACCACTGAAGAGCACCGAAAAACCACCAGGAAAACACTAAAGAAGTTAGCCGAAGAGCACTGAAAAACCACCAGGAAAACACTAAAGAAGTTAACTAAGCAAGGTGGAATTGACCACATACTGGGTAGAATTACATACAACTGTACTACTAAAGTTTTACAGGATAACAGTGCTGTGATTGTCCTAGCCAATTCAGAGGTTACACTGCCGTTCTTTGATTTTCAAAACCACTTAAAATTGGCACTAAAGAATAAATTTGTTTAATTCCTATATTAGCTGTTAAAGAAAGAGCAGGACTTGTTTATGAAGATGATTTCATTCCCAAGGTTACTGAATAGATGCCAGCCACGATTTACGCCATAGCAACTTTTTTTTTTTTTGATCTAGTGTTACTATGTTTATCTTGACAAACTAGGAATTTTATCATTGGAGTTTGGACTAGATAAGTGCTACCTTAAAGGGTACATTAAGTGATGTAGTACTTTGAATCTAGCTCTTAGATTCTCGAAATTCCTACTCTTTAATAGTGCAATTTGGTTCTTGAAAATAAAAATTTAATCTTGTTTACAAAGGTTTAGTTTTGTAATAAGGTGACTAATTTATCTATAGCTGCTGTAGCAAGCTATTATAAAACTTGAATTTTTACAAATGGTGAAATATAACCTGCTTTTTAACTAGTTTATTTGTCTTGCCATAACATATTTTTTTAACCAGTAAGGCTTAGACAAACATGGTGTCTAAACTTCTCTAAACAGTGGGAGTACCAAAGAAATTATCAACAAGATAAATGCTGTGGCTTCTACTAGGGGCTTTATTTGACATATAGATTGCTTTTATAATAACCTTTTTGTATATCACAATTTGGGTGAAAAACTTAAGTACCCTTTCAAACTATTTATATGAGAAAGTCACTTTATTCTCTAAGATATCCCTAAGGATTTTTTTTTTTTTAGTATGACTAAGGCTTTATTTATGTTTGCAAAATTGTTAAGGTCCTTTTTAAATTCCTACATTATAAGGACAGTGTCAAAGTGATAAAGCTTTACACTTGACCTAAACTTCTATTTTCTTAAGGCAGAAGAGTATTAAATGTATACTGATTCCTAGAAATGTATTTATTAAAAAAAAAGACATAAGAACTTGCTGTATATAGACTAGCTACTCCTAAATATTTTAGTTTTTAAAAATAAATTTCAGCCTCAAAGTAGATTTAATTAGAAAAAATTATACTAGTTTGCTAGTTTATTTTGTTATCAGATATGTGAATCTCTTCTCCCTTTGAAGAAATTATAACTTTAAGCTATTGTTATGGTATGAAGTTTTCTGTATAGTTTTTGTTTTAAACTAATATCTGTTTCAGTATTTTGTCTGAAAACACCACTAAATGTGTACATATGTATTATATAAACAATCTTTTAATACTGTTTATTTTTAGCCCATTGTTTAAAAAATAAAAGTTAAAAAACTTTAACGGCTTAAAAGTAAAGTTTTGCCATTGCTTGCAGAAACTTTTTTTTCCTTCTCTGCGCTGCCAGCTGTAACACTTCTTCTGGGTTGCTTGCATTCAATTCTGTCTGGCCGATGGCTTTGATCTTCCAAAAGAGAAAAGTGATGTTATTAGAGGTCTGGTCAAAAGTTAAGTCTTGCTGTTATACATACTATAAAGCTACCTACATGCTAAAAGTGATCAAGTTAGTTTACTGATTAACTGAACCTCTAACTGCAAAACCCAAAAATTGTGGAAAAAACTGACTAGAGCCACTCCTAAGGAAAGGATCAATTACTGAACCACAGTTTATGGAATTAATTTCAGTGACGTTTCATTACCTTAAGTAAGTTCCTGTAAGTTTACTTGACTGAAAATAACAGTAAGTGAACACGTGGTAACTTGACACATTTTTTACAGTTACATTAAGGTTCAGAATAGTTTGAAAAATCACAATTCATGTTTCAGGGTTTCACTTTTTTAATGTGCACAAATAGCTAGTTGCCCAGCATTATAATACCATATGGTAGCTTAACTTTTCATGATTAGAAAAAGGTATCGCTACCAGCCAGCTGCCAAAGAAAAAAGGATCTCGACCTACTAAATATCCAACAGTTTTCTGCTATAGAGTATTTAGTGAGAACATAGTTTAAGACCTTAGAATCTACCTTTAGATTAAAAAAAAAGATCGGAATTTCTTCAAACAACAAGACTATTCTGACATGTGGCCTGAAGGAAGATATGAGTATTCAGAAATCATCACCAGTTAGGTATGGAGGTTATGGAATAGGAGGAATTGCTGGATGATGCCATTTCTATATGAAGGAATTAATATGGCAAAGGCTAGTAGTAGATATAACTAAAGAGTTGTTTCAAACAAACAAGGTATACCAAAGACAACTGGCTGTAGAAGTCCAAAGTGTAAGACAGAAGTTGGAATAGGAGCCAAGAGACATCTGAAAGAAGCAATACCCCCCATGTGGGGGTAATAGTCAAAACTGTGAGTGGATGAGATTACCTAGGGAGAATGCAGGGTGATCAGAAAATAACCCAAGGACTAACTTCTTGGGAAAACCAAGTTTAAGGGGTGAGCAGAGGAAAATACCAATAAGGAAAAAAAAAAAACCCCAATTTTTTTCTATATTTTTTGTGTATATTTAAAGCCTACAACGTGTTTTGTTATATGTAGAGAAATGATTATGACAGACAAACATACCCATTACCTTCAGTTACCCTTTTTATTAACTATAGTCCTTATGCTATGTATTAGTTCACTAGACTTACTCATTCTGCCTAATTACAAATCTGTGCCCTTTGACCTACTCTCCATTTCCGCCCCAACCTCACCCCTGGTATCAAGTTTTGTTCATTTTCCTTTGACGTAGTGCTCTTTCCTCCGAAATCATGACTTAAACAAATGGCATGATTTCACGGAACCAGTATCGTGACTTAACAAATGGCATTTTTCAATATTTATAATAAATGGCTTTTGAAACAAGATTTAAAAATTTTTATTAGTTTTTTAAAATTTTATTTTTAACAGCATTTTAAGAGTTCACAGCAAAATTGAGTAGAAAGTACAAATTTTCATATACCCCATCCCCAGATGCACAACTTTGCCCTCTGTTGACATCCTATACCAGAGTAGTACATTTGTTATAACTGCTAACTAGCTTTTTGAAATAATCAGGATTTTGTCTTTGTAGATAATAAAACAAATCATAAAATGTTATTCTTTGCTGAATTGCCACACACTGGTTAGTTTATAATATGAGGTTGGTTTATTTTCATGTATGTTAGAGTTTATAATATATATATAAAGCATTGGACTGGGAAGTAGCTTTTATTTTCCATACCAAAATTACTTAAATTTGTGATATTTAAGAGTTTGACATATTCTTAAAGTATTTTTAGTTGTTTATATAGAATTTTAACTAAAGTGAAAGTATGAATTAGAAAACACTGACAGTTGAACCTCCTAAACGGAAAAGAAGCATTCTCAAGTATGTTTTCTTATATTTAAGATTAGATATATACATTAGTCATTAGGGAAATGCAAATCAAATCCACAGTGAGATACCACTTTACATTCACTAGGATGGCTATAATCAAAAGACATCTAATAACAAGTGTAGGCGAGGGTGTGGAGAAATTGGAACCTTCATATATTGCTGATGGGAATATAAAATGATCTCAACTTCAGGAAAAGTTCGGCAGTTCCTCAAAAAGTTAAACATAGGAATTACCATATAATCCAATAATTCCACTCCTACGTATATACCCGAGAATTGAAAACATGTCCACAGAAAAAGTCTGAATGTTTGTAGCAGTATTATTCATAATAGCCAAAAAATAGAAATAACCCAAATGTCCATTAAATGATGAATGGCTAAAGAAAATGTGTTATATTCATATAGTGAGATATTATTCGCCGTAAAAAGGAATGAAGTACTGACCCATGCTACAACATAGATGAACCTTGAAAGATTATGCGAAGTGAAAGAAGCCAGGCACAGAAGGCCACAAAGTGTACTATATTCCATTTGTATGATATGTCCAGAATGGGCAAATCTGTAGAGGCAGAAAGTAGATTAGTGGTTACCAGAGGCTTGAGAGGAGAGGGTAATGAAGAATGATTGCTAATGGGTACGGGGTTTTTTGGGGGCGGGGTGGTAATGAAAATATTTTATAATTAGTAGTGATGGTTGTACAATTTGTGAATATACTAAAAACCACTGAATTGTGTACTTTAAAAGAGTAACTTTTATGATATGTGAATTATATAAAGTTAAAAATATTTTTTAAAGAGATGAACATATGACCCACATACCTGATTGAAATAGATGCTTTATTAAGCACACTGGCAGCCTAAATTTCACCAAAATGAGGTGCTGTACTTGCCAGCTGTGAAAGGTCTAATTGCATGTTCTGTATGTTCTTGAATGTCATGACACTTTAGCTTGGCAATTTTCCATCTCCTTCCGTTCAGTTTTCTGAACTGACTTTTTGCTAGCTTCTTATTCAAATAAACAAAGCTCTAAAAATTTGTGGGTTAGGTCACTGACGAAGAATATATTGGTCAGACAGATACTTGTGTAAAGGTTTTTGAAATTAAAATTGAATGGAATCCATAAATATGAGCTGACCCAGTCACTGTAATCTGCAAGGCTTTTTAAAGAATATATTCTTTATGTAAGAGTAATTAAAGATTACCCTCTAAAACCAAGACAGTCATCATTACATGAAACCATTTTCAAATCTTTGTTTATGCAGGTGGCAATTTTATGTCAGTTCCTCAGAGAAATTGACTACAAAACAGCCTTTAAGTCACTACAGGAACAAAACAGGTATGAATGATTTTTAAAATAAAATGAGGTTGAAATTTTTCTGCTTACAAAAGAGGAAATAACTGAATTCTGTTTTTCAGTCATGATGCTATGGACTCCTACTATGACTACATATGGGATGTTACCATTTTGGAATACTTGACTTGTATCCTTTTAGCAATGTATGTGATGTTAGAACAGTTCACGCCTGCAAATTAAACTATTTAATATTGTGTATTTTCCAAATCGAACCAAAAACAGAGTTGAGATTCTCTCATGATATTTAATACTATCAGATTTATTATCCTTAACTGATTCATTTAGATCTTCATCATAAAAGAGGAGAAACAGATAAAAGACAGATTGCGGTAAGTTACCTTGTGTATTTCTTCAATGATATACTTAGTTTCCAGAATATTAATTAAGATTTGGACCAACAAAAAAAATATTTTGTGTGCTTATTTACTGCCAGAATTTGGTTATTAGTGTTTACTTTGTAAAAGGTCCTTTTTTGATAATATAAGCTATTCCATCTCAGTTTATTTTAAAGTGTTAGATCATGTCATTTCTCTGTTCCAAATGAGTGGTTTCTCATCTCACACAAAGTCAAAGGCCTTACAATGGCCTACAAGGCCACATATAACTTGACCTCTAGCCTTCCTCTCTGACTTTCCCCCTTGCTGACTTCTGCTACACCAATACCCCCTACTGTTCTTTGAACATGATGAGGATATTCACTACCTAAAGGCCTTTGAAATACTCTCTTCCAGGGACATTCAACTTCCCTCAGGTCTCTCCTCAATTGTCACCTTCTTAGTGATCATCCTTTCCTGACCATCTTATAAAATGAAAATTTCTATCTCCTTTTTCCTCTAATTCTCTTATTCTTATTTCTCTTTAAAATTTTTCTCCATAACATTTATCAATATCTGATATGCTATATATTTATTTATTGTCTATTTCCCCATGAGGATAAGGACATGGTTTTGTCATAGTTGGTACCTAGAATGGTGCCTGGCACCTACTAGGTGCTCAGTAATTACTGAATAGGTGAATAATTTATTTAAATTTGACTTATGAGCCAAAACATTTAAAATTTTATGTTCACTTTGAGTTGCCTAATATTTGTTGCATGAGTATAAGCACAGATAGTTACAACATGGATGAACCTTGAAAGATTATGCTAAGTGAAAGAAGCCAGACACAGAAGGCCATACTTTCACTTTAGTTAAAATTCTATAAACTACTAAAAATATTTTAAGAATATGTCAAACTCTTAAATACCACAAATGTAAGTAATTTTGGTGTGGAAAATAAAAGCTACTTCCCAGTCCAATGCTTTATATATATATATATATTATAAACTCTAACATACATGAAAATAAACCAACCTCATATTATAAACTAACCTGTGTGTGGCAATTCAGCAAAGAACAACATTTTATCATTCGTTTTATTACCTACAAAGACAAAATCCTGATTATTTTCAAAAACTAGTTAACAATTATAACAAATGTACTACTCTGGTATAGGATGTCAACAGAGGGCAAAGTTGTGCATCTGGGGATGGGGTATATGAAAATTTGTACTTTCTACTCAATTTTGCTGTGAACTCTTAAAATGCTGTTAAAAATAAAATTTTAAAAAACTAATAAAAATTTTTAAATCTTGTTTCAAAAGCCATTTATTATAAATATTGAAAAATGCCATTTGTTAAGTCACGATACTGGTTCCGTGAAATCATGCCATTTGTTTAAGTCATGATTTCGGAGGAAAGAGCACTACGTCAAAGGAAAATGAACAAAACTTGATACCAGGGGTGAGGTTGGGGCGGAAATGGAGAGTAGGTCAAAGGGCACAGATTTGTAATTAGGCAGAATGAGTAAGTCTAGTGAACTAATACATAGCATAAGGACTATAGTTAATAAAAAGGGTAACTGAAGGTAATGGGTATGTTTGTCTGTCATAATCATTTCTCTACATATAACAAAACACGTTGTAGGCTTTAAATATACACAAAAAATATAGAAAAAAATTGGGGATTTAGAATCAATATGATTTAAAGGCTGAATGGATGTTGGTGGGAGGGTCAGTAAAGTAAGGAAAAAAGCCAAGGATGACCCTTAGGATTGGGACTTGGTCAACTCAAATGGTTAAACCAACGTGTTTGATATTTTGGAGTTTTTCTTTTTTTGGAAAGGCAGGTGAGTTTATTAGGAGTTTACTACTTTACTGAAAAAGTAAAGTAAAACACTGAAATCAGTTTTGGACAGGTTGAATTTGAGGGGTTTTAGGGAAATCAAAGCAGCACCAGGCACTGGAAATACAGGCATTGAAAATATGGAGAGCAATCTGGTCTAGAGCCATCAACTTGGGAATTACCATCACATACATGGAAATGGGTAAGTTCAGCCAAAAAGGGACCCAGGAACAAGAACATGTAAAGATAGGCAAGAAGAGAGGAAGCCCACAAAAACAACTCACCTGGTCTGTGTAAACATCAGGGGGCACAGCCTTATTAAAGAAATCAGAACACACAGCTCCGGCTTGGAGGTAATAATGAAGAGCTGCTGAATACTGATTTGTTGCTGAAGTGGAAAATGGAGATAAAGAATTACCTATCACTGGATAGGACAGGTGGAAAAAGACAAGACCTCTTGTGAAGTATCAGGTATAACTTCATGGAGTGACAAACCGTAGATCTAGGGATAAAACTTTATACACATTCAGGACAATACTGACAAAAACTGCCTTTATTTTTTTCTAACCACATTAAACAAGTGATATAATAGATTCTTTGCCAGGGGTGGCTAGTTAGTTCAGCTAGCTAGAGTGCAGCCTTATACACCAAGGTCAAGGGTTAAGATCCCCATACTGGCCCGCTGCCAAAAAGTAAGAGATTCTTTGCCTCCTCAAACTGATTAGCCAACAATCTAGCTCAGATTTCTCACCAAATTTACTCTTACAGAATTTAGTATTTAGAGGTATTTATTTCCCAAATGTCCAAACTAGAAACATATCTTAATTTTTTGAGGTAGTTCAGAATCAGTATATGTATTCTGCAAGTGAACATTAAGATCTTGATGATAAATTCTTTGGGGGGCTGGGGTGAAAATGAGCATTAAAGTAAGCAATTATAATCCGGAGGAGAGAGGAATGATGTAGGTAGGGTACAGAAGAAACAAGATGGGCCATGAGTAAATTATTGTTAAAGCTGGGTGGCAGATACACTGGGGTTATTATACAATTCCTTCTACCTTTATATTTTGAACTTCCCTTTTTAAAAGAACCAACTCCTAAAAAAATAATCCTGAAATTATACCAGTCAGAAATTTCATTTGCTCTGTACAGTAATAGAACTATTGAAACTTCATATCAAGTTGGAAAACCCTATCTGATATAACCAGGGTGGGAGGTGGGGAGGATTAGAAATATATCTCTAAGAATACAAATAATTATCAAGAGTACCTGGAGAGATTTTAGAATCTTTAGCAATTTTGCAAGCAAAACCTCACCCTCATTCCTTAATAATGTAATACCAACTTATTAGATGAAAAAGTGGTCACTATTTTTAAAAAAACAGAACAAAAGTAACCAACATAAAATTAAAAGCATCTGAACCAAAGGTTCTACACCAAAAAATGCACAAATAAAACAATTATAGTTTTACTGTCTTAATTTTACCAAGGAAGAAGAGTAAGTCTCAAGAGCAAAACTTTATAAAGTTTAATAAAGTAGTGTAAAAAAATGTGTAATTTACTTTCACTTCTAAATGTGCTACAAAACAAACAAAAGCAACATCTTACTTACCAAAATAAATGTCTGCCTGAATAATTAACCAGGAATGGTTGTTTGGATTTATACTGAGTGTATACCGAACCAGCTCTTTCACCGTGATTGCCACAGCTTCAAAGTCCACAGACTGGAGGCTAAAGGAAGGACACTTAACATTAATCTCTTAACAGTTAACTTCAAATTCCATACATGCATTTATTAAAAACAAAAAGACCTAGCCAAAATTTAGGTGACCCTAAGTATAATGCTAAATATTACTAAGAGTAAGTATGTAAAAACTATTAAAACAACTAAATCTGAGAAAGTATGATAAGCTAACTTTTTATCAGGATTTGAAAACAATCTGATTTTTGTTTCCTTTTTTCAAAATGCCAAAGAGGGAAAACTAGAAAATACCAAACAAAAATCTTTACATCTTCTACAAATGTTTAAAGCATAAAAAAGTGGCAGAACAAACCCCACATCTCTGCTTTTAGTACAATTTACAAGTAACAAAAGGTAAGACAGGCTCATAAAATTACCCCAAATGATTTTTTACTTTTTTTTATTTGGGGGGAAGGGGCTGGCTGGTATGGGGATCTGAACCCTTGACCTTGGTGCTATAATACTATGCACTAACCAACTGAGCTAACCAGCCAGCCCCCAAATGATTTTTAAGTTCTATTATCTAGAGGAAGCCACTAAAAACAAGGGCTTAAACGCTAACAATACTATGTGACCTTAAACCTACTTTATGGCTTCTTGTAAAAGTAACTGACTTTCACTGGCCCCAGTGGGGTTAGAGGCTAGATGTGGCAAGTATACCACTTCAGTGCATTCAGTAGCAACAGAGTCAAGAAAGGGGTAGGGAATAGGGCCAGCTGCTCTGAGCATGGTTAAACATGGAAGTCTTGAGATACAGAACCAGAAGACAGAACTCTGAAGATTAAAAACCAGGTCAGCACCCAAGAAATAAAGGTGATTGCTACCACCTCCTGGAAGCAGTAAAGCACAGTGGTAGAGAAAACAGGCTCTGGATTCACACAAAAATGAAGTTCAAATCATGGCTCTATCATTTACAAAAGTGAACTTGGACAAAGTACTTCTGCTGCCTGGAGGGGTTAGATTTAACCATAACTCACCACTGTACCCAGTACAGTGGGAAAGGAAGTGTGGCACTATTAGCAAATACCCAATTATTTACTTAACAACTGAGTTAGACTGGTTTATAACAATATTCTACAGACATTTATAAAATGTTAACAAGCCTAAGAATTCTATCTACCCATTAAATAGTTGGTTTTAAAATACTAATTCTTAATCCAGTGCCATTCTTACTATTCTTGGAATAAATAAACATTCTTGCTCAGGAGAAATACTTTTTCTGGTCAAACATTTAGTCACATTTCATTTTCTCTGGGTCAATTTACATTAAAGTATTTTTGTCATGAAGATAATAGTTAAGCCTACTATGTGCCAGTCCTTACTCTAAACACCTAGTTAAGAAAACATGTTAACTTACTTAATCCTCACAATTCTGAGGTAGGTACTATTCTTATACCCATTTTAGAGATGAGGAAAATGACACAGAAAGCAACTTACCCAAGGTCATATACCCAGTAAGTGGAGAGGCTGAGACTGGGACCCTATAAGTCTCGCTCAGAACCCCTACAGTAAGCCATTCTTTTGTCTCATTTATAAACACACACTGGAAATCAATCTTTACAGTTTAAACTTAGACAAAAGAAGTGATACCAAAGCAGTAATAAACACAACCACTGAAACCACCAACTAAAAAGGCAGAATTGTCTCTACCTGATTCTTGGATTGCTATCTAATATACCAAGTTTTATTAGTAAAAATTAGAAACACTCTACAGTGGCACCTGCAGTTGGAATGCTGCGGAGAGTGCACATGTGCTTCAGGAAGCAGAGTGCTCCTCTGGTGAACAAGCCTCAGTAAGTGGAGGGTAGGGTGACTCTTCGCCCCTCCCCCCCCATTTTTCCCTGGTAGGTGGCCAGTACAGGGAACCAAACCTTTAACCCCTTAACCTTGATGTTACAAGAATCTAACCAACTGAGCTAACCAGCCAGCCCTACTCACCCATTTTGACCCTACAAATGCCTATGAGATACAGTGCTGTTTCCAATCTCTAAAGACTGAGATGCAAATTACTTATTCTTATTCTACTGTCCAGCTGCCTACCTACTCATCTTTTCTTCTTCAAA